TGGTCAAACCCTTTTATTTAACTAAGTTATACGAGTAATATGATACCCGCGCTAATCAATATTCATTTCAGATAAATGGCTTTTTAAATATCTAAGTAGTAGCTTGTTTTTTGTTTTGTTTTGTTTAATATCATATCATTTGTTGACCATTGTAACTACTATGTATTATTATTGTGGCGAATTATTCATTTATCTTAAAATGTGCAACTGTAACTTGATATTGCATCAATTTCAATTTCAGAAGCAACAGACCACGACCAGCTATTGTTAGGGAAATAAATGCAAACAACTAGTATGATGATTTAAGCGCATCAAGACTTTCAACTAATTATAATTCCCACAATATGTCAACAGTTTAAGCTTAACAACATAAGCACATGCAACTTCAATGAAGTTACTAGAATAAGGCATTCGATTGATCATGCGATAGATAAACATATGTACAGGCCTGAGGAAATTTGTCATATATGAATTATCCATCAGTTATTTGTCACATCAATTGTACATACATTGATGATAATTTTACGTGAAATAAGTTTATACATGAGATTAACATTAGGGTTTCCGCATGAGATTCATCTAAATTTCATGTACATTTTCATTAATAACATTATATATATTCCCTATGAATGTCACGAGAATTCATTACCCGGTTTATATATAATTAAATACCTGGTCTCAAATCGTTTCGGGTTTTCATGATTTGTACTGTTTTCATTCCTGATTTTTTGTTTTGTTGCCCATGTCTGAACTGAAATATATTTGCACTGGAAAAAGTACAACTGATGAAAGTCTGCATCAGAACAGGATACGGTATACCGTTAATAATTCATCACACATAAATCTCCATACACGCTGAAAGAAAGGACAGGGGCTTTATTAGTGTTCCACATTTTCAGTAAACAGTCAGCCATTTAAAATCACTGTGTGTGTACGGTGGTCCATAGGATTGGTTTGGGTGAAGTTCTTTGCTTGATGACTCTACACTTAGATATATATTGATGCATGTGATATTAACAAATTACAGACTAAAGAGAAAGGTAACGACTACTGTAAAACAAAAGACGTAATATATCATCGTGAAATTAAAAAAATAATACAAACATTGAACACACATTTCTTAATCTGGTTAGTATTAATTGAAATGTTCTCATTAATGGAGTTATTGGTATACGTTTACCATGGAATACTTCAATGTGCGGACTATTATATAAAAGTATAGTTGATCATATGTCGATGTAATTTGGAATAATATACCATAAATATACGAAAAAAAGTTTGAAAAGAGAAGAAATTAATTGCTATAAATGCGATAATTGTTAAAAATAAAAGAAATAAAGATCTGATATTGCTTACATCACTTCATTTGAACTTTGGAGGATAGTTGTCTCATTGGCAATCATACCACATCTCCTCATTAATATATATTTCGTAATTTCCAAAGACTATATTTCACATCTAATAATAACAGTTCGTTAAAATAATGTCACTAGTGCTTTCATACCTTCTGGCAAGACGATTTAACAATGTCCTTGACGATATGTATTTAAATAAACGACTAAATGTCAGTTTAACTATATCCACTGATGTTGGAAAATGACAAATTCCGCAAGTCGCGTACAATGGGAAGCAACTTTCAATGTAACTGAATGATAAACACTTGCGCTACGTACTGATTCAATAGTACTCGCAGTTACTGATATAGTTACTTTAAAGCCCATTCAGGCTAAAAAAACATTATTTTTTCCCGGACTAAAAATACAATCAGTACACCGCGAATAATTTAGTGGAAATGCTCTATAAACATTCGGGAAGTCGATGGCCGCGTGGTCTTATTTTTATCTTAGATACATAATATGTTTATTAGCAGTTATTTGCTTTGAAATAGCTGTCATTAACTGCCAGTACTCTCACTTCTGTAATTTGTGTCTGTTTTGTTGTGAGGGATTTATAAATACTTTGCCACGTCCGGTCTATGCTTTTGATAGATATTTTCTCATCTTTGTATCGATCTGATGAGTAAAGCCTTTGCCAACTGATTTTTATATGTGTTCTTATGTTGTATCTCTACGCTCCTACGGTTGGCTCCTTCAACTGTGTTTAATCCCGCAAAACTCTATTTGTGCCTTTCCAAAGTCAGGAGCCTGTAATTGAGTTTGTCGTTTTTGTTGTTTCTCATATTTGTTTTGCGTTCATTGTTTTGAACATAAATCAGACCGTTCGTTTTCTCGTTAGAATTGTTTTATATTTGTCATTTGCCTTTTACAGATGACAATGCGTTATTGGTTTGGCTCATTACTGACAATTGGGAAGCTAAAATCATCTCTTTTGTCGTAAAGTTTTGTTTTCAACCGACCATCATTGTCAATTTCTAGCTGTAAGTCAAGATATGAATCAAACTTAACTGTATAAGTTGCATCCTTTATCTCAAGTTCGATGGGATAGTTGCGTTCAACATAGTCACCAAATTTTGAATTATTTAGTGAGAGAACATCATCTATATAGCGGAAAGTGAAGTTTAAGGATACTGCTTACTCCTTTTCTTTCTTCCTAAGATGTTGTCGTAAGACAATCCCGTTCTCTTTGATTCACGATTGTGACATATCACCGATTGAGACTTATTACCGATTTTGCACAAACCGTGAACAACTCGACGGTTGCCATATGTGGAGCAAATTTTGGTACCATTCCAGAGTATCTGAGATTATCTCCGGTTTTTTGGTGAGGTTTATGTTGCCCAGTCTTTAGTTTCCTACATAGTGGTGTGGGGAAAAAAGTAAAAAACAAAAATACCGAATTCCAAGGAAAATTCAAAACGGAAAGTCCCTTAACAATTGGCAAAATCAAAAGCTCAAACACATCAAACGACTGTAAAACAACTGCCATATTCCTGACTTGGTACAGGCATTTCCTTATGTAGAAAATGGTGGTTTAAACATGGTTGTTATAATCTCAATCACTATAAAAACAAACAAATATGTCAACAAAGAAAAACAAAATGGCATATAGACAAAGCACATACGCAAAAATGAAACACAAGATTACAAAAAAATGACCCCAGCACAACAACACAATGGCGGGATGTATAAATATCCAAACAGTAAACGTTTTAATATAATTTACAAAGACAAATAACAAACAAGATGTGGTATGAGAGCCAATGAGACAACTCTCCATCCAAGTCACAATTTGTAAAAGTAAACCATTATAGGTCAAAGTACGGCCTTCAACACGGAGCCTTGGCTCACATAACACGTAAATAAGATGTTAAACAACGTCAGTACCTAGAATCTATAAATCAAGACCATTTGGAGAATTGTGTGTCTTTTCGTTGTTTTTTTGTTTCATGTCGTGGCGTTGTCAGTTTTCTTCGATTTACTAGTTTTTAATGTCCCGTGGTATTTTCTCTTCTTTTATATTAGTGAACACGGACAACAAGAAAAGGTTACAAATGTGAAGGTAGATCGTGTTTTATTGTATCTGGGATGATTAAATAGCAGAAAAAGACTTCTTTTAAATGAAGAAATTGTGTGTGACGTATCTTATTATTACATTGTACGACTTATAGTCAACGTCATAATTGATTTGACTTTCAAACTATGTTTCTAATGCAATTGATGATTCTTGTGTCGACGAACCGCGCTTCTGCTGTAGCAAATATAAGTCTGGTATCGTTGATAAGCTTTTACTAACATTGGATTGATGCAACTGCTGGTGGACGTGTCGGCCCCGAGGGAATCACCAGCCCAGTAGTCAGCACTTCAGTGTTGACATATAATATCAATGATAAAGTCTTTTTTCTGTTTTGTATGATAGAAACACTTTTAATTTAATGTTTTTCTATTCCTAGATATAGTTGACCTTAGCCGGTGTTTTGAGGCAACTTTTCCCAAATGTTGGATTTCGGTGCTCTACAATTTTGTATATGATTCGGCCTTCTAATTGTTTTGTTTCGAAAGCCGCTGATGCGTCGTTTGTAGATGAAACGCGCGCTTGACGTAGCAAATTAAAAGCTTGTTATCTTTGATGAGTTTTTTTACAAATACAGAATACCTTTCTGTTTGGTACATTTTTGTTAGTCATATACGGGGAGATAACTCAGATAATTTTATTAAAAAAATCTTAAGTGAAAGGCATTTTTGAAATAAACATCATTCCTAAAACGTAAATACATAAGCATTACGGCATTGACTAAGTTCGGTTATGAATTTGTACTGACACAGCAGTGCGATATCCATACTATAACAGTACGGATCAAGTGTTTGCTGAAACAGAACTAAAATTTATCGACTCAATAACGAAAAGACAATGTTGAAAATATAAATTTTTAAAATAAGTATTTGCGGAAATACGAGTCAGTAAAACTGAAGCAACAGAATGTATAACATTGACCTTTCTATCATATTTGTGTTACACAAATAGCTGTTGCTTCAAAATGTACAAGCGGAATGTAAATAATGCGTTTAAAGTAGCGTTTCGTTAAATATATAATGTGCAGGTAAGTTATCAGTTTATCAATTGCAAAAACAATATGTTTTATGTAGTTCATTGGGTAATACAAAAGAAAAAGAAACCCAAAGAGATATTCTGATTATATTAAAAGTTCAGTAAAATAACAAACATATGCTTTTTGAGATTGATGATTCAAGAAGTGTTTTCTTTTTGGCTTTCTTAAGTTTTAGTAATTCAAAATATCGGTATTATGAGACACTAATAAGTATATTAACCAAAATCTGCTTTTATCGAAATCAATCTTTATCAAGGCAACCCCAGATCGACATGGTAAAATATTCATATACACTTTCCTCCATACAATCCTTAGATATCAGTTTTGTTGGTGCCCGCTGTGAAACGAAGATATGTTTTAAAAAATAAAGGAGATTTTGGTTACCAAAAAAAAATGTATGTAACACTTACAGTTTATCACAATAGTGAAAAGTTAAACGGCTAATTTATCGATTGATCACTGATTCACATGAATAATAAGTGTAATACAAGGTCGAGTATACACACCAGTTTACATTTTACAGAGCTTACTTCCTCATTACTGTAATGTTTATTACTCATTACAATGAAGATTACTAGTTGTATATATTTTTTGCCAAGAATTTTATTATTTACCATTATAACAGGTAAGGATTTGATTTATTAAAGTTTGTTTGCATCATGCCGGTTGTTAAAACAATTTTTACATTTGTTTAATGGTACTTTTAATATCGTTTTTTTTTTTTTTTTATTAAGTCTATTTTGTGGTTTTGTTATCGACTGTTTGTCATAAATTGATGTCATTATATCATTTCATTACCATTCGACTGTGTTCATATTCGCTAATCTCAAGCTTGTTAATTAGTATTGCTGAATAACTGAAAGAGACTATGAAAAGGTTAAAGGTATTAAAGGAGCAGTCAAAACTCATAAGTCAGATGCGCCGAAAGGATATGCAGATTCTCAATTGATAACAAGATAAAACATATGACTTTTTGTTAAATCAATGGACAATGTTAAGTGTAAGTTTTTCATTACAATGTCTTTTATTACCTTGGCTTTTTCTTGTAGGAAATAGTCAAAATGAAAAAAAAGGTTTTGTATCTAAATTTTGTTACTGTTATATGTTTCTGAATAAATAATATACATATATATATTATATATAATATTCTTATTTAATTAAATGGTCGTTTGGTAAATCTGAATGCAAACATATTTGCTGCAACTCATTTAAAGCCTTTTTCTCTAATGAGAAAGGTAAATATGCTAGATATACTTACTGGAGGTGTGATGAGATGATTGAAATCGTTAATTTTCTCCTTGATAATATTTATGTAAGTTTCGGCAACAAAGTTTATCGATAGGTTGTAGGTATTCCTATGGGCACTAATTGCGCCTTTTTAATAGCAGACTTGTTTTTGTACTGTTATGAATCACAGTGTATGACCAAACTCAGTAAAGACCCGTCTAAATTGCATTTAATTGATAAATTCAACAACACTTACCATTATCTTGATGACATTTTTTCGTTAAATAATCAAGAATTTTCTAAATATACTGCCGACATTTACCCAAAGGAACTTACTTTTAATAAATCAAATGTAAACGTTAATAACTGTCCTTTCCTAGATTTAGATATTTCAGTTTTTCACGGAAAACTCCACACTAACATTTACGACAAAAAGGACGATTTTCCTTTTTTGGATGGTTATGTTCTTTTGGCACCATCTTACGGTGTTTATATATTACAACTCGTTCGCTATGCCCGTGTCTATGGAACGCCACAGCTGTCTTATATGGAACTCTGATATTACGTTATGTTGTTCTATTATTACTTGATGATAGTTTTTCTTTACATAATATGGTTTTGACACTACGTAATGATGTTTTGATATAACTCAATATGGAATAGTCATTACATAATGATATTTCGATATTACATGATATGGTTTCGTATTGATTTGATATAGTTTTGTCATTACTCGATGTGGTTTCACCATTATTTAATGTGGTTATGTCATTAGGCAATGTGGTTTAAACATTACTTGATGTGTATGTGATATAACGTAATGTAGTTGTTTCATAACATGATGTGGTATTGTTATTTCGTAATGATGATTTGTCGATTCTTTATATGGCTTTAACATTACGTAATGATGTTTCAAAATTTGACGATTTTACACTACATGATGTGTATGTTTCAGTATTTGATGTGGTCATGTCATGTCATGTGGTTATCCCTTTACTACTACGAGGTAAAACCACGTGACCATTTTGGAAAAAAATATGTTCTATTTTTAGACCGATTTCCATATGTCGTTTGTGTAACGCGCTTTGGATGAGTACCGCTATTCATTAAGGTAAAGTTCAAATTAAAGTTCAAGTTGTTGTTCATAGTTATTTGGTATGAAAAAGGGGAACGACAGACAAAATTAAGAAAAAAAAGTACTAAAACATTTACAGTAATTCGGACATAAGGGGGATATCCCAAAACCACTTGCCGGTTTTTCCTTAGTTCTCAAATGGAAGCAGTATTATAATAAATTCGTAAATGATTCCTTGGAACACTGCTTTATCTTGGTCTTGAAGAATAACTCCTATACAAGTTTTATAACAATTCATGGAGGTTTACAAATTTATCATGTCAAAATAGTTTAATTTGGTAATATTCAATGCAAAAAAAAAAAACCTTAAATAGAAATAAAAAAATGTGGTATGATTGCCAATGAGACAACTCTCAACTACATACCAAATGACGTAGAAATTAACATATATGTGTGACTGTATAGTCTTTAAGAATGAGCAAAATTCATACCACATAGTAAGTTTAAAAAGGTCGCGAAATGAAAAATATAAAAACAGTTCAAACTAGAAATCTAACAACCTAAATGATGAAAACGCCGACGATACTACCGACGACGGCATACAAAGCATCAATTCTATAAAACAAGAATTCTCCAGGTTTTTTTTAGCGTGTATATAGATATAAGAAGATGTGGTATGAGTGCCAATGAGACAACTCTCCATCCAAGTCAAAATTTATAAAAGTAAACCATTATAGGTGTATGTTCATTTGAACATATGAATATTAAACTTTTTTTTATTAATTGCAGTTTCTGATATACCACGCACTAATTGATAAAAAAAACTTTTTGAAATATCTGTTTCACAGGTGACGACGAATAGGTTCAAGTTGTCGTAACCACAATCCCGTCATCTTTTCCTCGAATATAAACTACCAAATGAAACCAAATCACTGGGTTTGTACTTTCACGAATAACACGACGGGTGCCACAAGTTAAGCAGAATCCGCTTACCCTTCCAAAGCACCCGAGATCACGCTGATGGATTTATGTTACCCAGTTATACTGATCTATTTAGTTGAGCCAATCAAAACTGTCTTTACATTTTCTTCTTGTGCTGTGCTATGATACACTAGGTTAGGATAGGGATTAGCGCTTACATACATGTTATACTCCGCGGCGTGCACTTTCTTTAAATGCCTGCCCCAAGTCAGGAACCTGTAGTTCAATGGTTGTCGTTATTTCATGTGTGTCATATTTGTTTTTATACGCCCGTCAAAATTTTGACGGGACGTATTATGGTATACAAATGTCGTCTGTCCGTCTGTCCGTCTGTCTGTCCGGCGTAAACATGTCGCACCGTAACTTGAGAACGACTTATCCAAATTTCATAAAACTTAACAAAGTTGTTTATAATGATCTGTATACTTTTTGGTGAAAATAAGATTAAAACTTTTTGAGTTACGGGACTTAGTAACTAAAACAGGTGTGTGTTTTTTTTTTCACATGTCGAGCGGTGATTATGATTATTGCTTAAAACTTTACACACTTCTTAGTTATATTAATCTTAAGATCTGTATACTTTTTGGTGATGATTCAAAATTATCTTTTTGAGTTAATGAGTATTTTGTAAAAAAAAGGGGGAGGGTTTTTTCACATGTCGCGCCGTATCTCAAAAACGATTTATGATTATTGCTTTAAATTTTATACACTTCTTAGTTGTATTAATCTTAAGATCTGTATACTTTTTGGTTTTGATTCAAAATTTTATTTTAGAGATGATTTTTTTTAAAGGGGGGTTTTCATATGTCGCGCCGTATCTCAAAAACTATTTATGATTATTGCTTAAAATTTTACACACTTCTTAGTAATATTAATCTTAAGATCTGTATACTTTTTGGTTTTGATTCAAAATTTTATTTTAGAGATATTGAGTTTTTTTGTAAAAAAAGGGGGGTTTTCGCATGTCGCGCCGTATGTCAGACACTATTTATGATTATTGCATAAAAATTCACACACAAGACGACGGGCGTATCATGCGCTCTAGGCGCAGCTGTTTATTCGTAGATTGTTTAGCTATAAACTAGACCGTTAGTTTTCTCGTTTGAATTGTTTCACATTTTCACGTGGTGGTCTTTTGTGGCCGACTATACAATGTGTTGAAGGCTGTTAGGTTGCCTATGATTGCTTGCAGCCACTGCATTTAAACTATGGTGGATAATTTTCTCATTGGCAATCACACCACATCTAACTTTATTTAGGGGCCTCGGTGGCCGAGTGGTCTAAGTAGTTACTACTGTAATCATTAGCCAGTCAACACTGAGGTTGTGAGTTCGAACCCCGCTCGTGCGGGTGCACTCAACTCCAATCTTAATTGACTAGGATTGTCAGTTTTCCTATCGAAGGTCGGTGGTTTTCTCCGGGCACTCCGGCTTCCTCCACCAATAAAAACTGGCCGCCACGAAATAGCCCAAAAGCGGTGCTTAAAATTGGCGTTAAAACACCAAAAATCAAAATCAAATCTAACTTTATTTCAATTTCTATGTTGTGTTTTGTATGCTGTAAAATTGTTTATCTTTTGTACGCATACCTACCCCTGAACACTCTTTTCGGAAGAACGAGCAAAAGCCCTTGATGCACGATAAAAAAATAGAACTCATATTAGATAACTCGAATTTCAACTCTTAACCTTAATCTAAATGAGACTCAAATAAGGGTTTATCTCGAACTCTAAGTCAAAAGGTAATTCAATTTAAAAGTTGAAGTCCAATTGTAATTCGGAACTCTATCTTTAAATGTGACTCAACTCGAAGTTCAACTCGAAAATTGGTATGTGGTTGAGAGTTGTCTCATTGGCAATCATACCACATTTCTTTATTTCTATATAAGGTTTTTTTTAATGCATTAAATTTTACCGAATTAAACTGTTTTGACATGATGAATTTGTAAACCTCCATGAATTGTTATAAAACTTGTATAGGAGTTATTCTTCAAGATCAAGATAAAAGCATCTACAGAAAAACATGTTTTCCTCCGTTAAGTGTACCGGTTAATGTACAGTCAGTCAACATTTAACTTACGCTTTTACACTGACAGCAGAATTATCCGGCGAGACTCAGGGTTAATAAGAATCTTTAATTTATTTATTAATTTACAGCTTCCATTTGAGAACTAATGAAAAAACGGCAGAACCAAATGGTTTGGGATATGTCCGAATTACTGTTAATTTTTTAGTACTTTTTTTCTTATTTTTGTCTGTCGTTCCTTTTTTTCATACCAAATAACTATGAACAACAGCTTGAACTTTAATTTGAACTTTTAACTTAATGGATAGCGGTACTCATCCAAAGCGCATTACACAAACGACATATGGAAATCGGTCTAAAAATAGAACATATTTTTTCCAAAATGGTCACGTGGTTTTACCTCGCAGTAGTAATGGGATAACCACATCAAAGAATGAATTGACCACGTCAAATACTGAAACAAACACATCATATAGTGTAAAATCGTCAAATTTTGAAACATCATTACGTAATGTTAAAGGCATATAGAGAATTGGCAAATCATCATTACGAAATAACAAAACCACATCATGTAATGAAACAACTACATTTCGTTATGTCACATACACATCAAGTAATGTTAAAACCACATTGCCTAATGACACAACCACATTAAATAATGGTGAAACCACATCGAGTAATGACAAAACCATATTAAGTAATGACAAAACTATATCAAGTCAATACGAAACCATATCATGTATTATCGGAATATCATTAAGTAATGACTATTCCATATTGAGTTATATCAAAACATCATTATGTAATGTCAAAACCATATTATGTAAAGACAAACTATCATCAAATAATAATAGAACAACATAACGTAATATCAGAGTTCCACATAAGACAGCTGTGGCGTTCCATACGTGTCTGTTGTGACGTTTTTGATTTTAATGAACGTAATCTATGTATTACTGGCAAATTATTAAGTCAGGGATTTCTTTACCACAAGTTACTTAAAACCTTTACTAAATTCTTCCATATATATAAAGATTTAGTTTTGAAGTTTGATTGTACCTGTAGGAAACTTATTTCAAACGGGATAGCACATCCTCATTTCTACGGAGATGTTGTTTACCGTGCCCGGAAATTTAGAAACGATCCTGGTAAACTTATCGATCCTTTAAATAAACGTATTCTAAAAGGTTACCAATTCAACACTGTAATTAAATCTTTGAATATTGTTTTTATTGGTATTAATATTGATTTTGTTATCAGTAAATTAAAAGCAAACTAAATATTATTGTTATATACATATGCACATTCGTGGATCTACAATCTGTCGATACCTGTATCTTGGCATTACACAAGGTCATGTTTTTCTCTTACTGTTTATGACTTCTATACACTAAATCCATTGGATGTTGCATGTGTAATGATTGATAATTTAGTCTTAGATACATGATTTTTTTTATTAGCTGTTATTGGCTTTGAACTAGCTGTCAGTGACTGCGAGTACTCTCATATCTGTACTTAGTGTCCTTTTGTTGTTAGGATGTACAAGTACCCAGCCACGTCCACTCTGTGCTTTTGTTAGATGTATTTCTATTTGTATCTATCTGATGAGTGAATCCTTTTTCAACTGATTTTTATAGTTCGTTCTTATTTTGTACTGTTACAACACTATCTCAGGTTAGGGGAGGGTTGGGATCCCGCTAACATGTTTTACCCCGCCACATTCTGTATTTATGTGCCTGTCCCAAGTCAGGAGCCTGTAATTCAGTGGTTGTTGTTTGTTGATGTGTTACATATTTGTTTTTCGTTAAATTTTTTGTACATAAATTAGGCCGATAGTTTTCTCGTTTGAATTGTTTTACATTTGTCATTTCGGGGCATTTTATAGCTGACTATGCGGTATGGGCTTTGCTGTTTGTTGAAGGCCGTACGGTGACCTATAGTTGTTAATTTCTGTGTCATTTGGTCTCTTGTAAAGAGTTGTCTCATTGGCAATCATACCACATCTCCTTTTTTATATGAACATATTTGTTGAGTTTTGTAGATTGATATTTCACCTACAGTGTTGCCGACTTGTTTTTTTTTTTTTGTATGTTCACACTTAAATAGAAGCGCGCTCCTGACCCCAAAAGTGCCCCAACAAAGTATTGTGGAAAAACGACTGAAATCAACCGAACATATGTTGACGGTCGTCTTTACATATTGGTTGGTGGATACGATGTTTTCGTGTCTCAATTAATTTCCGACATGATTGTGCGGTCTTGGATCTTTGGATCCTAGAATAGTCGTCTGATCTGTAAATTTGTCGACTGTCTCCTATTCCCGTTTGTAACATTTTGCTGAATGTGGATTCGCATGGAGGATGATGCAAGATTAATAGCAGAGGCTTATTCATGTCGACGCAACCGGTTTCCTTTTGGAGTTCATTCGATTCCATCATTTTGTTTTTACCTTGATTGGTATCTTTTAATGGTTGCTTGAAAAAAAAAGTATAGGTCATGCTATATATTTTTTCCTAAGCTTCTGAAGTTATGTTTTAACAATAAAGGTAATGCACCTCTCAATAAAAAAATTTGGGAATTTGGAATGCAGATACTGAAATTAGAATGCATGATCAAGATATTGAGTATAGATTTCTAATCTTAACCATGAAATATTGAATCACAAATTTCAAATCTTGAATTATTCTTTCGGGTTCTTTTACTTTTTCTTCATTCTGCAGAAACGATTACGAGATACACTATATTTTTCAGAATTACATGCTGTAGATGACCCGTGTTCTGGCATTGACAGTAAAATAGGTATTAAACTTAAAATTCTGTTTTCATCAATATTGTATTCATACACTCTAGGTTTAGTTTTCATAATGGTATGAATTTGTTATGGAATTTACACCGTCATGATGTTTTAAATCAACTTGCCACTACAAAACTGTACAAATATATACTGGTTTCCAGTTGATATTTACCTATTAGCTCTGAATGGTCCCACTTGATAAACGTAAATCAAAAAATATACATCGAACGCAATGAAATCGAATATGTAGGTGTTTGACAGTTAAAAACTTTATGTAAATCATTTCCACACATTTTTCTTTGTTTTGTCATCAGATATGTACACAATTAAATGGAATCTATAAAACGTAAAAAGAATTTATATTTTTGTGTAATCATCAATTACTTAAATTTGAAAAACGAGTTAAAACCGTTCACCACACGCGTATGTGTAAAAGGATATTTGAGACACGAGTAAATGTTAATGAGACAACAAATACAAAAGTAAAATACGTAACCTGCCTCCATTTTAATATTTAATCTAAAATAATCCCATTCTGATTTAATAACCACATGCTATGATACACGTTTATCTAATAACATTGATCGATGAATCTTTTCCTAGTGGTAGATATGTGTACAGATGAGCACGTTGTAGAAGACAGTAAAGACGGATATGATAAAATTGATAGTGTAGTTGTACGTGTAATGGAACAGAAGGCTAACTGTACATGTCGTGTCAGTTTAAAGAATATTAAAGGAAGTCATATTGTACAAATGAGAAAATACCAAGGACTGAGTAGTTCAGCTCCATTGACAGAGAACTGTGGACTAGCTATTGATGTTGATTATCCTGAGGTTATAGGATATGCAAGCAACCGGTATCCAATTAATTGTATAAGTGGTACTACCAAGCGAGTAATTGGTCTAGAAAAAAACGGTGTTATTGAATTGAAATCAAGAATTATTAGTGGTAATTTTAGCAGAGGATACTGTATGCAGATATATAGAGGTATGTTTCTGTTGCATTATTAAAATGTGAATACAATACACGATGTTTCCTCATCTGTTACATTTTGTACACGAAAGTAGAAAATTAGAAAGTTTTTTGCAGCGATGTTAAGGGAAAACAAATAATCTGTATATTTAGTTAAACATGAGATATCTACTGCGTTGGCATACAAATCGAGCAATACGTTCAACATTATGACAGTAAGATTAAGTTTTTAGTTTTTAGCTAAATTATAGCACATGGACCCCAATTTATTTTTATACGCAATTGATCCTGTGCTGCTTCAAGAATGTTATTTAAAAATTGCAAGGAAATATCACTTATATATTTTTTCTGTATGCATATGTGCATGTTGTAATAGAAAAAAAACTTGTATATTTGTCTTAATATTAACAATATTTGTATATTTTTACCAAATCTCAATCGCATCAACCTTCATTATGGTATTTACTTAAACAAATGTTAAAAGCCTATAAAGTTAACAATATTCTGAAATAAAATCGGATGAAAACATCTCTTTTTGAAGGTAATGTTATTCTTTCGGAAAAGTATTGAAATGTAAAATGTTATGTTTGCGCTTGAAACATCAAACTAAACTAAACGGAAAGTAAGTACTGAAAGTATATTTTTCTTGGAATATTTGGGAAGTCTTATTAACATTGACTTTGTGTAAACTTAAAAAAAAACAAAAACAATTTAAGATCTCTTCTGTATCGTATGTCCTAGAGAAGACATCATTAAGATTTGATTGACAGCAAATCCTTGCGGAAAACAGCAAGGAGTTATGTAAGCTAAAAGCAACATTCTTTTATACAAAATAAAGCCAAAAACCAAAAGCTAAAACACTACATCTAGATTAGGTTTGATTTGTTCATTTGTCCATATATAATATATGCGTAACTTATCATTTAACTAATTGAGCTACAAACCAATGTAGTCTCAATTGAGCAACAATTAAGTGTAAGAGATCTCTTTATTTGACCAAATCAATCCAAAGACTTTAAATGGTGTATTTGCTTATGATGCTCCACCGATGCAAGGGACATTTGTAAGAATAAGAAAAATATGTCCTACTTGGAAAGACATCTCTTATAGTGGCCTGTTATCTTATGAGCTAGCGTGTTTATAAACCAGCCAAGCATGTCTCGCACAAAGCAAGGGTCAAGATAGTAAGTAGCAAGTTAACATGAGTATTAATATTTGAAACTTGGATTTAACGCATTAATTAATCAATCGAAGCCCTCCCAAGATAAATATATAAAATATGTAAATTAGTAAAAACTCTAAATGTGAAATATTCTTTACCCAAACACCAAAACTGACCAGAGAACTGACTGGAATGTTTCGTGGTCTTTTTGTGATTTTATTCATCTTTACCCCCATTATAAGTAGAGTTTGTATAGCTATGTCATTGGTTTTTATGTATTGGTTTGAGAACCTATTGCCCTTTCTTCTTCTTTCGTTTTGCACAAGGCATTGTCAGTTTTTCTACTACTTATGAGTGTTTAATGACCCCTTGGTATCTTCCGCCTCTTTCTATAATACACAACCCCATCAGGAGAACACAATGCAACACATCTTCCAATGTACTATATTCAAAGTGTGTTAAAAATCGTGACCGTTAAATCCAAACGTATGTAGTACTGGGGGAATTATTACATTCATACCTTAAATACTATCCTTCCAGCGTTGGAGATAGATGGTTATCAGGAGTAAGTTTACATTGTTCAACTTTTCATTTTCTATGATCAACACACCGACAAAATTAGTGGCATACAAAATAATAAACTGTACAATGTCTTACACAATCACCGAAAGGACGCCATTGATTATAAGTTCAAAAGAAAACTGCCTGTTTGGTAGAACAAAATAATTATATTGAAAAAGGCATCCTAGCTGTTTTCTATCGTGTCCGCGTTATGTTGATAGTATCTATTTGACAAAGGAAGATATGATATTAAATCTATCATTATAAATTCCATTCCTCAAATACTGAAACTCGGGAAGTGTTATCCATATACACATGATATAAAGTGTCTCTTTTTATAAGTGTGAATAGAGATATAAGACAATCATATTCAATTCATTTCTCTATCCATAGAGTCGGTAGGGCAAACATCAAACATCCAAAACCTTAAGCAAACTGTTTAAGTGTTGATATATGTTTGCCAACTATTCTGGTATCAGCGCAAACATCAAAAATTCTAAACTTTCAATACGGACAACTCTCAAAGCGTGAATAACTTGTCAATTATTTTGATCTTGAAACCTCAAATAATTTAGCAGGTTTTTAAATATGCAGTCATTTTCGGTCAGAATGGGAACGTTAAATCCAATGCCTCAAGTAGAGAGAGTGTCAATCTCTGTGTTTATTAAATAATTGTTTGCAACACTCAATGAATCAAAATATCTTCCCTATCTAACAGTTTTTGATTGGCAATCTAAATATCTCGCCCTTCATCCTTGTCGATCAACTCATGCAGTGACTATAAATAATTTGAGATGTATTGTAAATATGTATTTGTCCTGGATGTGCATAAAGTTTTTCGCAACAGTACGGTAAAAAATTGACGAACGATCAAATGGTGTAACATGCGTTTAAGTATAATCGATTTTTCGCTCTTTTTTTACCCCATAAAGGTCTTGCCTCCGGTTATCGCATAATGATTCCGACACCATGAGTCAATTGTCCATGAATAATGTGACTTATGATTCAAGTGTAAACTTCCAATGCTAAGTAATTCAAAAGATATCGTGGTTTACTGAATAACCCAAAATAGATGGTTGCCAATTATTCTGGCAATAATTAATAAAATTCAAAAACATTCGGCACAGGCAATTCTTATATATTAAATGTACTAGGGATTCAAATTTCGTCTTTCTTTCCCTATTATAAAGTTAAGGTACCAGCAATTCATCTTTTGTAGAAACATGTGTTTTCTTTTCCCGGGATCTGACATTTTTTTTTTAATAAAATACACGGAAGGGAGAATTTCACCAATTTTCAAGGAAAACAAACTAAAAGATGAATGATTATTGAAATACTAGTTATCATGACATCCGACCCTGATAATTTCTGCCCTTAGGACACATATCAAAATTCCTAAACCTACAACACAATATACATGTATAATATAAAATTAAAAATGAGGAGATGTGGTATGATTGCCAATGAGACAACTATCCACCAAAGTTCCAATGAAGTGGATGTAAACAAATATAGGCAACCGTACGGCATTAAACAATGAGAAACATCCATACCGTGTAGTCGGCTATTAAAGGAACCGACATGAAAAATATGAAATAATTCAATTGAGAAAACTAACGGCCTAATTTATAACAAAACAAATTACGAAAAAGAAATATGCCAGACCCGAACCAACGAAAACTCATAAATTGAGGATTGACAGGCCCCTGACTTGGGAAAGACACACAAAGACTGTGGCGGGGTTAAACATGTTTACTGAAGCCAAACCCTTCCCCTAACCTGGAACAGAGGTGTAACAGTACAACACGAAATCAAACTATAAAAATCAGTTGAGGCTTAACTCATCAGATCGATACAAAGAAGAAAAAACATTTAACGAAAACACGTGGCACGATATTAATACATCCCCACAACAGAATAGACAACAACTACAGAACTCGCAGTTACTGACAGCTAGTCAAGGATGAGCCAAGCCTTTTTCAATATAAACTACCAAGTATTTTTATGTAGTGCTCGCTATAACACCACTGTCTATGGTAAGAGGAAGGATTTAAGCCTTCCACATTATGTACTTGCCTGTCCAAATTGCAAGTCAGCGACTCTTTTCACAAAAAATCTTACGATTAAAATTGATCATAAGTTATACTGAAATGTGTATGACTTACGAGTATTTTTACTCTTAAGATTTTTTGTGAAAAGAGCCGCAGGAGCCTGTTTCTCAGTTCTTGTCGTTTGTTGCTGTATATCATATTTATTTTTGGTTTATTGCTTTGTGCATCAATGAGGTCGTTGTTTTTTTGTTGTTGATTGAATTGTTTTACACTTTGTCATGTCGGGACTCTTATAGCTTGCTATGCGGTATAAGTGTTCCTAATTGGTAAAGGCCTTACTGTAACCTTAAACTGCTTATTTCTATGCCATGTGGTCCCTTGTGTCTCATATTTTATCATACCATAGAACTAAAATACACACATAAGTCTGGAATTAGTAAATATTTCACCTTTAGTTGAATGAAGTTGAAAGAGCAATTAAAGTATGCAGTTTAAAAAAACTGAACTTCCAAAAGGTCCAAATTCTAGAATTATATGTTTTAAATAAAATTAATTTGACAGAATACGTAAAATACAATGTAATCTTGTTGCTTTATTCATAAAACACATGGTAAATAATTACACTTGATGTTTAATCTAGATTGAAAGGTATGAAATATCATGCTTCGGTTCATCTAAACTGGAGCAGAACCATTTTCATATTCATATGGAGTACATTCATATGACTAAAGACAGAAAAAAAACGAATTTTGTTTTAAATTTGAACTTAAGAACTTTATTGTGAATCCCGTTATTTGATTCAATAGATATAGTTATTATATTAGATAATCTGATGAGTGGTGACCCTGTACAATTAAACATACAGTGTGATGATCCTGAAAATACAACAACGATACCAACAACACATGCATCAGCAACGACAAAATATAAAAACAAACAATCATCTACCGACAAAATAGCTTCGACAGCAGACACTAAAGGGAATGCTAAAACGTCCACTGTAACAACGAAAGGATACAATAAAGAGGAAGAAATTGCATCGACAACAAACACTAACGATAATTATAAAACGTCCACTGTAACAACGAAAGGATACAACAAAGAGGAAGAGGGTAATGTAAATCATTTTAAGATGTAGTTAATTTAATATTAGCTTGAAGCAAAACACAGAAACATCAGTTATATTTTCGTATGTAGACTTCTTCATAGTAAAAAAATACAACAAATACATTAAATTCAGTATGCATTATATAATATACACAGTAACAATATCTCTTCCAATCTGAATTTGAAGTATCAGAAATAAGTGTGAGAGAAAAATACAATTGTCTGTAAAACCTGTCTTTAAACTTAATCATGAGTATTTTGTTTTGGTCTATGTATCGTTATATGAGACCATAAGTATTAAGAGAAACAAAGGAAATACATACCATTTATTGTTCTTATTGCCTTGATAGTAACAATAATACAATAGTACAGACAAAATATTTCAATATGATATTTAAGTTGAAAGGAATAGTTTGCAATTTCTTATTTTACAGATGATCATTTAGAACTGTACATCTATATAGGAGTGGGTGCAGGAGGAATGCTTATAATTATAGTTATTCTAATGATTATACTTTGTATAAGGTAATTGCAACTAAAATTATTTCATGATATGTGTATATTTGCATACAATCACTAAAATATGGATGTCACTACGATGGTAACAATTTGAAAACATGTAAGACGTACTGTGTTTGTTGGTTTCTATTCGCAGCTTTGATATTTCGTCAGACTCAATCAAAGAAAAGTAGGGTCGCGCATTAATAAATGCCGATGAGCCATAGCATATACGCGCAGGTTTAATACCAGCGAATTCATTTGCTTCTTATTACAAAATTTTAAATTAAAAAAACTGAAATTGATAAAAACGTTGAAACGAATCATTGTAATTGCCGAAATACTGACAACTGGTCGCCTTATATCTTCCCCATCAAGCAGTCAACCAGAAATTGTATCTGCAGTAAATCCCATTCTTGATTTAAAATCACCAGATATGCTTATGGTCAAATGTTGGGATAGGTTAAGATGTATAGATACATTTAAATTATATCAATTTAATTCAATTTCATTATACCTTGCTGAAGATAACACAAATAGCCGCACACGCGATGTCGTTAGGCCAGACTTATTAAATCTTGTGAATTAAAAATTATCTCATAACATTACCGACATGAGCGAAAAAACATTTTTTGTTGCATATTAATTTCTGAATTTCAAAAAATGAACAAATATGTATTTTTTAGTTTTTAATGATCTGCAAGATTATTCACAAAGCATAAGTTAACTTACATACCCGTCAAATTAACGGAGATGTTAATGGGAATGTCCGTTAAGATTTTTAAAAGAGGTTTTCACAAACGGTTCCGCAAATATTGTGATATTAGGTCTGTTTGTAGCGTGTATAGGTATCATCGGTTTTGAGATTGTTCAGTGCTCAATACAGTATAAAGACTGCTTATTGACATTTTTATCACAATAATGTAAAGAAGTGAAAGTCGCTGTTTGATTCTTGGCCAAGTCAACCCAAAGACTTTAAATGTAGAATTTGCTACGTCTACCCCAGCATGTGAAAATTGAAGAGTGAGAGCACAGGATGGGCTGTTTATTGTAAGAAAAATGTGTCCTATTCGGGTTAATATGTCTTCCTGTGGAATGTTTCAAGGTGAGCAAACGTGTTTCTTTAAAACAAATAAAAACAATAATTTATATAGTAATACTAATACGGAATGACCAATAAATCTAAAAAAACTAACAGCTTTTGAATCCTGAGAACCTTAATTAGGAGCATTAAATATGATTTCCGTGCGGATATCACATTTTTCTGAATAATCCGTCATCGAGATTATGCAAAACCTCAAGAGTAGACAGACAAATAACCAAACAAATATTTAACAAACCAGCCAAGTTTGTGGGATAAAAAACAAGAGCCATGATAAGAAGTATCAAGTTCACATTTTATCGTCCTGACTATACATTTAGTATTCGAAACTGTACGTTCAACATTCACTAATCAATCAATTATCCTGGACATTATGGTCATTACGTCCAGGATAATATCAGTTAATGTGTTCAGATTGTCATCCTTTTGATAAACTAATAGTTTACCAAGTGATTAGTGATGGGAATTGAGTATTGGTTTAAGATCATCGTTTTGATTTGTTTTTAAATTAAAGAAAATTTTCAATTTGTTTATTATACTAATGGAGCAACATATTTTATTAAATATATGTCTATTGGAAACATCACAAAAAAAAAATCAGGAAACTGACAAAACTTCATAACCAGAAATTAGTATTTTGAGGAACAAACTAAGATGTTATCGTAAAATCTCCGAAAATAGGAAAACGGAACATTTGTCAAATGAAACTCTATTTTAAACATTACAAACAGAATTGTATACGGAAACTGGCATAATATCATGCCAAAAAATAACTATTGTTAAATGAAAACTAAGATATTATCATGATATCTCCGAACACGGGAAACCAGAAAATGTGTCATTTGTAATTTTTGTCATTATTTTACAAAATGAACACTGAATACGTTGAAATCTTAAAAATCTCTATTGTTTAACAACATTTAACCTGACCTTGGATACTTATTAATGGCACAACATAAGAACAAATTGTCAAAAAAGTTGGAAATAACTTGATTCATCAAATATATACAAAGCATAAAAAGAAACTCACAAAAAGACTAAAGAGACAAAGAACCGATATAATAGAGTACTCTTAGACTGGTACTTTAGTCTTTCGTCTTAATGTTACTTGTTTTTTTCTGTGTGCTTCTAGGTCATTGCTTTTGCAGACAGTTCATTCGGTCTTTACATTAAATCCATTGGATACGTACTGATAGATATATTATCTGGGATATATGTTATATTATAAGTTGTTATTATCCATTTATAATTCGTGCTGCCTCGAGATTTGTTTTCAAACGACCCGCATTTGAAGACAACAGTTATTTCATACTAAGAATCAATAATCTAAAATTGAAAAAATATAAAATCATGTGTATGTATATTCTCTACAAATTTAAACTTTAATTTCCCAAAGAAATTTAGTTGTTTGAGGCTTTTTTTCTATCACAAAATTAATATGGATAGTCCACTTACAGTCATAACTTAAGTACACCCCAGGATATAACGTATAAAGAAGCTAAATAGTTTGATGTACATGATATTAGTTTGTTTTACACTTCTCTAAATGAACATGCCATAATTTAACCTTTTCAAATTATTTAAATGGTTTATGTTGGAAGTTTCTTTTTATTATTATTCAGTAACTTTATTTATCAAGAGTGAGTTAGAATATTTATGAGTTATCAAGAAAATCTTTGTTTTTTGGGGGGATTTTTTTATTCTACTAAATTTGAGTTTTCTGTATGTTATTGTTCATTGTTTTTTGACTTTTTTTTTACAATAGATTTACTTATCTTTAATTTTAATGCACCTTAACGGGGATATTAACGTCTGTTAGATAACGGATGCTTTGTGAATTACCTCCTTGATATTTAATATTCCATATTTCTCTTTTTTTTTTTTTTTTGTAAATCATTTATCCCAATAAATGTTTATTTCGAATTTAAGGAACAGATCAAAGAAGAAAACAAAAAAAGAAGAAGAAACTGCGAATGACAGAAATGATCCTGATTCTGATAGTGGCGAATTAAAGGATAATATTCTATACGTTTCCGCAGATCAACAAGATATTATTGAAGACGGCAATTACAATACTGTAGATTTAGAAAAGAAACGAATAGTAAATGAAAGTACAAGATCTGGTGTAGAAGATAGTACAGCTGACGGAAACTACAGTTCAATAGGAGCTACTGATAATAGTCCAGATACTCGGAACAAACCAAAACCGGCCGTCAACTTTAGTGAATCGGACAAGCAAAGACAACAAATATCTACCTTTGAAAATAGTAATAACGAATATGCTGTGGTAGATAAAGGGAGAAAATCTGACATTATTGAACATGGTTCTCCTTTGTTAAGAAACAGCAGCGAAACAGACATGGAAATGTCTGTTTTAGATAAAACGTATGCAGTGGTTGATAAAACAAATAGGAGAAAAGCTGATGAATGAAGACAAAACAAAACGTGCAACAAAAAGTACGAATTTCCCGAAAATTACTTTTAATTGGAGATTTCGGACAGTACTTCAAATAATGCATGCAACCTGCAGTTCAAATGCGTTTTCAAACAAGCATATGTCAATAGGTAACCACATCCGATAACTGAGATGAAATGCCTCTAAACATGCTTAATGCTCAATGCGCTGTGTGTAATAAAGCCATGCTGTTTTAATCTCTACTCTATATTTGGTGAACACTATATAACAATATAAGGAATTGTTTTGTCATATTTTCAGATAATTCAACAGGTCAACTAATTTTTGTGTTTTAAAATAAAAGACATGTTCAGTATACTTTTTGTTGACATTTAAGTTAGTAAGTTACTTTATTCATTAGTTTGAGATAGTGAAAACAGAAAAAAGATCAACAGGTCATAAATAATATAAAGGAATCTATATTTTACATTTATTGACTTAATTTGGAGAATATTTGATATCTAATGTGACCAATTAATATGCACACTGATATCAAAAGTCAACAATTGTTTTATTATATGACTTTTTTCATCCATATCAAATTTTCTAGTATTTGCTCAAAAAATTAAAAAACAACTCATCAAAGATACCAGGCGAATACTTTTGTACGCCAGGGGCGTGTTTGGTCTACCAAAGACTCATCAGTGACGCTCGAATCCAAAATTTAAAAGGCCACATACGAAGTTGAAGGGTATCCAGGATTCAAATTACGAATTTTCAACAAGATATATAGTCTGCTTTGGAAGGACAGTTGCAAACTTTTATAAATTGAAATATTTAATAAGATTCCCTTTAAATATAAAAAAGAGGATGTTGTATGATTGCCAATGAGACAACTTTTCACAAGAGACCAAATGATACAGAAATTAACAACTATAGGTCACCGTACGGCCTTCAACAATGAGCAAAGCCCATACCGCATAGTCAGCTATAAAAGGCCCCGAAAAGACAAATGTAAAACAATTCAAACGAGAAAACTAATGGCCTAATTTATGTACAAAACAATGAACGAAAAACAAATATGTAACGCATCTACAAACGACAACCACTGAATTACAGGCTCCTGACTTGGGACAGGCACACACATACAGAATATGGCGGGTTAAACTAGTTTGAAGGCGCTAACCCTCCCCTAACCTGGGACAGTGGTGTAACGGTACAACATAAGAACGAACTATAATAATCAGTTGAAAAAGGCTTCTCATCATATGGGTACAAATAGAAATACATCTAACAAAAATACAGAGTGGACGTGGCCGGGTACTTGTACATCCCAACAACAAAAAGACACTAAATACAGATCTGAGAGTACTCGCAGTTACTGATAGCTAGTTCAAAGCCAATAACAACTAATAAAAAAATCATGCATCTAAGACTAAATTATCAATCGCCGAAAAAAGAACATCGAGAATTTGCAAGACGTCATAAGCCTAAGTCGTTGACGTTGCGTAGGAAAATAGCTATTTAGGTACCTGCTAGCTGTTCAAAATCTTTTATCGCACCTCGAGTAAATAGTCACATTGTGATTGGTTTAACGCCGTCACGTGGTGACCCCCTATGGGCCCGTAGGGGGTCAGTAGATTTCATAGGGGGTGTCATGGCGGCGATAGGAGATGACTGATGTGCCGCTTGATATTTCAGAACGGTATTTTAAACGCAATACCTTATCGATTCAAGTAATTATTTGGGAGTTGTCCCCCGTTGATCAGTATACATATCAGTACTTTAATTGAAGTTATCACCCGTTTCAAACAACATGTGACGTCATATTTTCGTCTGCAACAAAATGGAGAGATTCGGGACGTCAACACGTCAGGACATTGACGATAAAAGACGGAACATTCACTCCGAAAAGACACAAAAAGTAACAACCTATCTGCAAAATTGTTCAGGGAATATCTTACTAGTAAAAATCATGAAGCTGACTTTGAAAGCTTTACAACACAACGTTTGGATGAAGCGTTATCTCATTTCTACCTTGATGCTAGAAAAACAGATGGTTCCATGTATAAAACCTCTTCCCTGGAATCGATTCGACATGGCTTGAATCGCCACCTTAAAGCACCTGCAAACAATAAGGACTTTGACATTATTAAAGATGCAGCATTTCGATATGCAAACATGAGCTTTGACGCTGCAAGGGCTGAACTGAAACAAGCAGGAAAAGGAAACGTTGAACACTATCCAATTATCCAGGAATCTGACAGGGAGAAGCTGTACAAGTCAGTCTACTTTTCTACACAAACCCCCACAGGACTATTTAACAAAGTCCAGTATGATATAAGACTGTATTTTTGCCGACGAGGTGCAGAAAATATGCATACAATGACCAAGTCAACTTTTGCTTTGAAAACAGACCCAAATACAGGAATGAAATACATCGAAAAGATTTTAGATGAATTAACCAAAAACCATAGAGGAAATGATAAGGAGACAACAAGTGGAGTCATGCCAGAAGCTACAGGTACATTAGTTTATATATTTGATAATCATCAGGCTTGGTTAGTAATGTATCATTAATTACACCCCCCTCCTCCCAAAAAAAAAATAATAAAAAACAATCCCAAAATATTGGGTAATTTAAAGTTAAAGAGTCCCACCCCCGAAACAAACACAAAATGAAAATGTAACCTGATTATCCACAGACCATCTAATATCTTATTTGACGTGTCGTGAAGTGCAAAAGCATGGAATGGTTTGTATTTTTATTTTTCAATCATCAATGACTGCAGCACAAATAAAAAAAAAGGAATGTCAACATTTTCTACATATTTGTATACTTTAAAATGTTTTTTTTACTATAACTATATCATACAGAATTTTGTATTCCAGGCTCAATGTATTGTCCAGTGGAATCCATTATAAAGTATACAGGCAAGCTGCACCCTGATTGTGATAGGTAAGTGAATTTAACAATAAATAAAAGCTACAATCGTCAAACAATTTTAAACACAATCATAAGTCTTAGAACAAAAACCTCAAAAAACATGAAATAACATGGGTAAATAAAAAAAAAAAAAACACAGCTAAAAAAATTCACCAAAAGGATATTAAAGAAGGTATGTGTCATAATTGTTCTAAATGTCGAGAAAAGCCAGATTTTTATAAAGTTAATTCTTCATTTTATTCTTCATTTAAAAAAATTTCAGATTGTGGCAGCGTCCAAGGGACTGCTTTGTTGATGACGACAACGAAATAAGGTATTACAACGCACCTGTTGGGGAGAAAAGGCTGAAAACATTTATGAGTGACTTGAGTTTGTCATGTAAACTTAGCCAGAAATATACAAATCATTCCATAAGATCAACGGGAGCTTCAATTTTGTCAAAAAATAAGTTTAATGCTGCTCAGATAATGTCTGTTACCGGTCACAAATCCGTACAATCTCTATCCGTTTATCAACGGGTAGACACGCAAGAAAAGTTACAAATGGGACAAACTCTGGGAGTAACTATGGGAGCTGTGCCAGCCCAGATAGAGGCTTTACCAGCACCTCCTATTAGACCAGCACTACCAGCACCTCCTGTAAGACCAGCACTTACTGAAAATGGATCCATGGCACCTGTTCTTATTGAAGCAAACACTCCGCAGAGTTTGCATTCCGATTTCGAAGAATTCGATTTGAACGCTATATTAGGGGACTTTGATTATAATGAATCATCCATTACTGTTAGCAACACAAGACAAGCTGCCGGTCCACAATTATTTCACAAATGTAAAGTGACAATCATTCAAAATCTAACATTAAACAAATACTTGTTAGTTAATAAATTCCTATTGTTATTGTTATTATTTTTCATTGTTAAATTTTGATATTTTATACTAAACTTGGCAGAAAACGCTCTATGTGTGATAAATTCGTTATACGGTTCACTACTAACCCCCTACGGATCCTATGGATTTTACTAACCCTCTATGGATCCGTAGGGGGTCAGTAGCAAACCATATAACTTATATTATCGCACCTCGAGTAAATAGTCACATTGTGATTGGTTTAACGCCGTCACGTGGTGACCCCCTATGGGCCCGTAGGGGGTCAGTAGATTTCATAGGGGGTGTCATGGCGGCGATAGGAGATGACTGATGTGCCGCTTAGAATTTTCAGAACGGTATTTTAAACGCAATACCTTATCGATTCAAGTAATTGTTTGGGAGTTGTCCCCCGTTGATCAGTATACAATATCAGTACTTTAATTGTACTAAGGCCTCACCCCTATGGATTTTACTAACCCTCTATGGATCCGTAAGGGGTCAGTAGCAAACCATATAACTTATAATATATATGTTGTGTGTACCTCTCACAGTTTTTCCCGATATATAATGTTTTATATAAGAAGATTCTTGTTTTAGTCTATAAGAGAACAGAAATGCTATAATACTTGTATAAAGTATGCAATATTTTAGCTTTGGTATCTTCAGCCTCTTCTTTACCACTCAGTATGGTAATGCTATAACTATGCGTTATATAATTATTTTTCAACATATTGATCATATAAACAACATGCTCAAGAGAATATAAGTACTAGTATGTTTATATTTCAAAACAACATAAAAGATTATCGAAATAAGACCATAAAACATTACAAGAATCAATAACAGTTTCGGATATAACAAATTGTCTTCTTCAGATTCAGTGTCCTGGTGTTAAAGGATGATTTAAGAGTTGTTCAACCGTTCGAAATCCCGAACGTAATACAAATTAAACAATATTAAAACCAAAACAAGTGTGGAAAAAAGAACCCATAGATTTGCTTTCGCATTATGAAATCTAAATGTTCTATTAGGAAGGTGGCATGTGATATAAGAACCATTTTGAGGCATCTTACAATTACACAAACAATAAGAGTGTTTTATCTTTTTGAAATAATATCAATATTATTAATCGATGAAAAAATAATAGAATGACTAGTCCACGAATTACAATATCTGAAAAATTTCAACGAGTGATCGAACAACACAATATTTCCTGAATGCGCGGAGCAAGTGAATAGCCAGTGTTGTTCGATCACGAATAGAATATTTGCTTATATTTGAATTTTTTGATTTGTTATTCTGTTATTTACATTGACTTCTAATAAATGTTAATTAAACAAAATTGTAGGAACTGTATTTGTATATACGCGTTCTAACGTTGTGTTGATGCTACGTCTATGCCAATTACATGTTTTTTTTTGCTTGAATTCAATTTTACTTAAATAAATGTGTTATTCTGATAACGTCACTATGACATCACCAGCGCCTTATCATATTCATCTTTTAAAAAACAGTCAATTTTATATTATATAAGTAAAATTGAATTCAAGGAAATATAACCAA